ACACACACACACACACACACACACACACACACACACACACACACACGAGATAACAATAAAGCCAGCCTGCCAAAAGAAAATGGTAAAAGGGCTGATTTGGGGGAAGGCAGTTAGAGAGTCCCAACCACAAACTCCTTAATCATTTCCTATCTAGGTTTTGGAGGTTGGTCTAATGCTAATTACTGGCCCCTCAAGATCTGGTTAGTGCATCCCTGTTTGTGAATACCTGCCTAAAACATTATTCTTGATTGGTTCATTAAATGGCATATACTTGGGCAAGGCAGAATGGGGTAGGCGTGGCTTTTGAGGAAGGAAGAACCAGGAGAATCACAAGAGACAGATTGTCAGGAAGAGAGGATGCCGTGATGGGTTAGCATGGAGAAATAACCATGCAGGCCAAGAGAAAGGACTCCAATAATGGCATGAAAAGGCCCAGATGAAAAATTCAAGCAAGTACCATGGGAATCTATGTGGAAGGTAGACCAGATGAGGAGGATTAAGGTGGATAGCATTGAGTGGGGGCTGAGAGACAGATGGTGAGGTTATTGAGACAGTGTAAGTGAAGTATCTGCCAGGCCCAAGGTAAATAAGGCAATTATAAATCTAACAGGTGTCTGTGTCTTATTATTTGTGATAGTTAAATAATATGCCATGATAATCTTAGGGCTAATAACAAACATTATATAGCCCACTTTTTATTTACTGCAACACCTAGGTTACGCAAACCCAAAACATGAAGTTTTAGCTTGTGTGTTTGCCAGAGGTCTATAAGTTAAAGGATTACTCTCCAGCCTGCAGTGTTAAGGGGAGACGGTGGAACCTACAAGGGCTGGATTTTCTGAGTGCTCTTGCAGAGGATTGCAGAATGGAGACCTAGTCTCCTAGTCTCTCTGTCTATCTGTCTCTCTATCTCCCTCTGCTTCCTGGCCACCATATACAACATTCCCTGGCAGAACATGGGCTGAAACCTCCCCAAGAGTGAACCAAATTAAGCCTGTCTTTTCTTTTCTGAGCTTATTATCTGTTATTTGTGAGAGAAATAAAAAGACTAGCTCACCCAAGTGATTACCTAAGTCCTGAAAAGTTAAGAGGGGGCACATAGAAAAGTTACATGAATCCACTTTTGAGGCTAGCTTCCTGAATGGGAAGCATTCAGCAGGGGCTCAGCCGCAGGGCAGAGTGAGAAGAGAGCCTCGGCTGCATGTCAGACCCCTTGCTAACAGTAGGATGAGGTGTCCTTGCAAGAAGAAATTACCCACTTTGTAGCCTTTTACTTCTGACTCATTATCCAGGGCCTTCACTTGATCCCAGTTCAGGATAATTTTGGAGTCTGATGAATTCCATATGATGTTTCCGGGGGGTTGGCTTGGTGCTATAAAAAAAAAAAAATTAAGATAGACGAAGTCACAGATTATTAAATCTCAATGGATTCTGAGGAATATCCCCTTACTAGAATTCAAGAGTAGAGGCAATTTAATGGGCGATTGCACTAATATGTGTCTTCAAGGTCACTGAAATCTGACGAGATACAGCATTGCAAATGGAAAAAGATTCAGTTGGTCGCCTACCATTTATAGCTAAAAGAAGTAGTCCTTCCCAGTGAGGAGAAAAACATTTATCTTTCTGTCCTCCGGAGCAATGAATTTGGCATGGTATTCTAAAAGGTTCAGTTAAAATGCTAAGGTGCATTTGAATCCATATAATGATACCAATTAGTATGCAAATGAACACTGGGAGGTGGGGATAGGTAATGAACTTGGAGTATATTTGATGAATCCCCAAAATATTTCTGAGCAACCCTGTCCTTACGTGGCTTCCTGGTCGTGACATTGACTGTTGCACTGGAGGGTCCTGTCCCAGCTGAGTTATATGCCTTGACAGATAAGTGATACAGCGCACTCCCTTTCAAGTTGGTGATTTTTGTAGATGTCTGATTTCCAACTGTTCGTATTTTTCTAGCATTTTCTTCCTTGTCATCATGTCTCCAATATTTTACCTGAAGATTTAAAAAGAAAGACCTTGGAAATCATACCCACTGGGGACTTTTCCAATGTCATCAGGTAATAATACAGTTATGCAGGTTCTTACAGTGGAGTTAAATTTCTATGTTAATTCATGGACACAGCTTTTAGAACAAGGAGATCCATTTGACCTGCAAAATTATCCAGAGTAAGAAAAAAAAATTTTGTCTTTTTTTTTTTTTGTCTTATACCAGACTGAGATAACCAGTCTGGTATTTCTCTTATTTTCCCACCTTTGTTTTGAGTTCAGGTGATTCTGAGCATATAAGATTTTAAAAAATATATTTAAATATATATTTTACTTTTTAAAAATTGTGTGTGTGTCTGTGTATGTGTGTGTGTGTGTGTGTGTGTACATGTGAAAGCAGGCAACCACAGAGGCCAGAGGAGTGCATCAAATCCCCTGGAGCTGTAGTTACAGGCAGTTGTTGATTTGCCCATCACGGATGCTGGAAACTGAACTCTACAAAAGCAGTAAACACTCCTGACTTCTGAATTCATCTCTCTATCCCCATGGGCATATCATGGTTATTCTCATTTTGCCAATTATATTATAAATCTTTAGGTTTATATACATACACATATACACATGGAAATACAATACTAACCTTGAGCATAAACATAGATAAAGAATAAAGATAAAGAATCACAGCAGCTTCGTTAATGCTTCTATCATTGATGGTATGGTAGGGCCAGGTGTCTAGAACAGATACCTGTGTAAGGCAATGTGGGTCTTTTCCCACCAGCGAGTATGTCTTAGAGATCTCAACAATTGACCAGATATAGATCAAATGCACAGGTCTCTCTAGCTTACCTCATAACCTTGAATCCGTCCTCTATTCTTCCCAATAGGGGAGGCCCAGAAAACTTCAATATCCGTTGCAGAAAGACTCCTAGCAAAGATACTAGCTGGTGGCTTGGTGGGTTCTGGAAATAAAGTCAGAAAAATTTACTACTTGGTTGGCTTCATCACAACAGGCTCCTAGAAATGTGGTTAGAAGGTAAAAACAAAACAAACAAACAAACAAAAAACAAAACCCATAGTCATATATCCTTAATTCTTGTGAGACACATAACATCTCCCCCAGAAGAACAATTTTAATGTATAAGGGGATGGTTCAAAAAGACATTTACGAAGTTTTACAACGGTCTACAATGCAGGTAAGTGGAATTAAAGTGACCCAAAAGCAAGTTTAGCCACAGCTTTCGTGGTCAGCAATTCTCTGTGTGTGTGAGACAGAGAGACAGACAGAGAGACAGAGAGACAGAGAGAGAGGGAAAGAAGAGAGAGTATGTATGGTAATCAGGGAACCAATGTTTTTATAGTATACCTGTCTCTAATGAGAATATGCCTTTGACTTGAATGTATTTTGTCCTCTAAATTGATTGTACACACTGAAAGAAACACCATTTGAGAACTGAATAACTATCAAGATAGTATGAACCATACCTTCTTCAGCAGAGTACACCAATGTAGTGGGACTGAAAGGGCCTTCTCCTTTGTTATTGAAGACACCCACTTTGACCTCAAAGGGAGAGAACGGGCGGACGCTCTCATTCCTGAACACGTATCTGGAGGCATCTGCTGAAGCCAGCACTGTGAGCATCCAGATCAGTTTGCCATGTGGCCGGAAGGCTACCACGTAACCAAAGCCTCTGCCGTTCTGTAATTCCTCTGGTACTGTCTGGGGAGGGAGGGAGGTAGCACTCAGAAAGCACAGTAGTTTGATTCAAATATTAAAGGGTATGCCCCAATTCCTGCCTCAACTGACTCAAATATTTGAGAGTATTCCCCTCACCACTTTAGACTCAGTGTTATTTTCAACAATCTTTTGAACTTAGGGTAATCCTCTAACCTGTCCAAAGATATTCATGTGTTTACCAGAGAAATAACAACCTCGAAAAAGGAAATGAAGGTCTGTTATGGAGAGCTGGGCTCTGGGGAGGTAGAGTCAACTCTGAAAAAGCTACAGATGATGGTCAATTAACCACACAGATGATTTCCTAAAACAAAACAAAACAAAACAAAACAAAACACCCAACTCTTCCACCATGGCACCATCCAGTAATTTTCCTTCAGTGCTAAATAGACAAAAGAACTCACAGAAGAGGGGCATCTCTGCTCAGGTAAGATCCTGCTCCTCAGGAGAGACTCTGAGCTCAGCTGGGAGGGAGAGATTTCTTTCCTCTCCCTGCTGGGGCTCTGGGTAAATGAAAGGCTTTTTATTCCAGGGGACATTGTCTAAAATCTTCGGAACACATTTCAAACCCCTTTTGAAGCTCCCACCTCCTCTCTCAAAATCAATTTTTAATAAATTGGTGACTAACTTTCCTCCAGGTTGTTTAAAGAAATACCTCACAACCCAGCAGCAAAACCAACTGCCAGGAAATTGTTCTGGGACACTCAATCTATAGCTGGCAGATGTTTTAAATCAATTGGCCATGCAGCAATACAGAAAGAAAAAAAATACTGGTTTTCTCTGAACAAAACTTCCTTATTATTATTATTATTATTATTATTATTATTATTATTATTATTTTTAGTTTGCATTATCTCCTCTTTCATGATTGCTTTTCCTGTGAGCAGTCAAAATAAAACTTGCTTCAACACTGGGTAGCCAGGCACCCTCACTTCCTGATAGCCATTAATAGATTTCTTGGAAACATTGGAAACATAGGGGGGCAGTTCCTGGCTTCCTGTCATATGGAAGAAAATAACAAAACAGCCCAGGCATGTGGGTCCATTTGGTTCTGTAATGGATTTACCTCCCAGGTTATAACCAGTTCCGACTTGCTGCCTCCACCACCGCTGACATTAGCTGGTGTGACTTCCGGGACTGCAGGAGACAAGAGAGAAACTAGGTTACTTCAGGTGCTTATGGCAAATGGGGGGCAGGAAGGTTGCCCAGGTGGGGTGGCTCACTATTTGTGAGCACTTGGACACGTGTCCCTTTGTCTTTGGATATCAGGTAACAACCACAAGGCAACACTGTTCTGGCTTGAAGGAGCAAAATATCCCAAGAAAATTTCTATTAATTACCTGTTTCTGGTTCAACTGGGTATACACATTGCCAGGTACTATTGACCGATTGTTTAGCTCCATCCCTAAAGACCTAGGAGCTCCACAGAGGAAGAAAAGACTGGAAAAATCTGTCCTCATGCTTGGTTAGACATTTATTAAGCATGTGGCGGTAACACAAAGGAAAAACAGGACAAACTGTGCCCACGTGGAGCTTACAATCTAGTGGGAGTGAGAGAGCACATGCAAAGTATCACAGACAATCTTGGACAACACTCAATGATGTCGCAGACTGAATGGAGAAGAGCAGTGGTGTTCTGGAGTAGCAGGTTGCTCAGAGGAGTGCTGGGCTAATGGCTTCTCAGAAGAAGGTGAGCTTTGAGCTGGCTGTTGAAGGAAGTGGTGGACATAGGTTGACCCCTGGCTCAATGTGCTTAACCTCTCTGATCCCCAGTTTTCTCTGTAAAAGAGGGGAAATCAGACTCACTTCCTTCTCAAGATTACAGGGTGGAATTGAGTTGTAGTTTTGAAGATGGGAGAAGAGAGCACAGGATTAGTCATGCCTTCACATAAATGAAGGATTCCAGGCAGAGCCTTTAAATATCTAGCTGGGGACTGCAGCTGGTGAGTTGGTATATACCATTGGTTAAGTCAATAGTACATCCCTAGATGGATTCTTTTTTTCATCAATTCCACGAATAAGGCAAAACTGCTGGTCTCTTTAGAATCTTGGCTATGCTTTTACAAATCATTGTTACTTTCATAGCTGGAGACTCTATTATAGAGACTGCACAACAGGGTCTCCCATTTTCTAAAAGCATAATCTGGCCCAGCTGAGTGTACATTACCTGCATCCTGTGTTCATCATGCAAGCTATATGCATTCTTTACCTGTGGCAATGGTTTATGACCTAAGAAAACGCTAGCAAAGATTTCTGAGGAAATGTTCCCTAACCACCTGTGATTTTTTTTTCCCTGACACATGAACCAAAGAAAAAAGAGCTGATTTTTGAAAGAATTAAGCAGAGGTACCATACTGTTTCTTGCCATACCAGAGGCCTCAATAAAGAGGACTGAGAACTTGATTAAAGCTCACCACCATCATGGCTGAAATTCTACTGGCCTGGTATATCATTCTTATGATCCTTTAAGGGAGAAGTATGTAAATATAGAGCTCACTGAAGCTAATGAGCAGGAAGAAGTCAAGGCTTCTCCTTAAGGCAGTGGTTCTCAACCTTCCTGATTGATGCTATGACCCTTTAATACAGTTCCTCATGTTTTGGTGACCATCAACCAAAACATTATTTTTGTTGCTACTTCATAGCTGTAATTTTGGTACTTCTATGATAACGTAATATCACAGTATCATAGCACATAATATCATAATGTAAACATCTGTGTTTTCCAATGGTCTTAGATGACTCCTGTGAAAGCGTCATTAGACCCCGAGGTTGAGAACCACCGCATGGAAACTGCCAGAACAGACAATGCATATCTTGAGTGGCACTCACGGGCCTCTTCTGTCCTCCGTTTCTCTGAGGGCCGGCTGGGTTCCCCAATGCCAATCACGTTAGCTGCAACAATGCGGAATTCATACTCAACCCAGGGGTTCAAACCCACCACAGTTGCTGTGAATGTCTTCCCATCAATGAGTTCTGGAACTGAAAGAGGGCAAAAGATAGGTGAGGGGGTTTTAGGCAACCCACTCAGGACCACAAAATATAGAGATGATTTTAGGAACAGCTGTCGTTATCACTAACAGCACCACCACTACCACCTCCAGGGAGGTGTCATAGCCTCTAGGCATGGTGATGAAGAGGGAAGAACATGTTTCAACAATTTCAGATTCTAGCGTCTGTGCTTTCAGTTTATTTTCTTCTTCTGTGTTAGGCTCTTTGGTCACTGTGACAAATACTTGGGAGAAAGAGTTCAAGGGGAGAAGGATTTACTTTGATCTATAGTTTTAGATGTTTTGGTCAAAGGTTGGCTGGCTTCAGTGCTTGGGGCCTGAAGTCAGGGAGAATGCCATGGTGGTGAGAACTTGGTATCTCAGAGTTGGAAACCTCCTGGTGTCTTGTAAACAGAGTCAGGAAGGTACCAAAGACAGGATAGCCTTCAAAAGAGGACCCCAGTTACATACCACCTCCAGCTAGACCCACCTTGTATGGTTTTGTCACTTCCCAAACTACTGTCAGGAGTCACATGACCCTTTGAGGAAGATTTCAAGTTCAAATCATAACACAGTTATTACTCTCTGTAGTAGAAATATTTTTCTTTTTTCACTCATTCATACTGATTCTATATATTTCCTTTTTGTAAGATTTTATTGTCATTTCTGTTAGGTTTTAATTATATTACCAATCCCAACCCCTGTCAATATTTCTTTTATTTTTTTTCACTGAGATGACATTTGATGAAATTAGACAGGAGTTTTTGTAAGCAAGATACACGCTCCTTTAGTCCCAAGGGATAGATGTGTGGCCTTGATGTCTTGAAGCAGAAATAAATGTCAAACCCAATTTTATACAATTTATATAAATAATGTTGTTGTTAATCCTTTTTCCCATGTATTTATATTTTAATCATTTTACAGCCTGATCCCAGCCTCCTTACTCCTTTCCTTCCAGTCCCTCCCCCATGCCCCTTCTCTCTAACACCCCATAACCTTCTTCTCAGAGAAGAGGAGGCCCTCCAAGGGTACCAACCCATCCTGGCATCTTAAGTTGCAGCAGGACTAAGTACATCCTCTTCCACTGAGGTTTGAAAATGCATCCCAGCTAGGGGAAAGTGATTCAAAGGCAAGTAACAGAGTCAGAGACAGACCCTACTCCCATTGTTAAGGGACCCACATTTTGACCAAGTTGCACATCTACTACATTTGTGTAAAACATATAGATCCAGCCCATGCATGTTCTTTGGTTGGTGGTTTAGTCTCTGATTGCCCCCATGGTCTCAGGTTGGTTTACTCTAAGGGTCTTCTTGTAGTGTCCTTGACCCCTCTGGCTCCCTCAATCTTTCCTCCCATTCATTCACAAAACTCCCTGAGCTTAGCCTTTTGTTTGGCAGTAGGACTCTGCATCTATTTTCATCAGCTGCTGGATGAAGCCTCTCAGAAGATAGTCATGCTAGGCTCCTATCTGCAAGAATAGCAGAGTAACATTAATAGTGACAGGGGTTTGCTCTCTCCCTTCCATAAAGTAGGTCTCAAGTTGGGCCAGTCATTGGTTTGCCATTTCCTCAATCTTCATTCAATCTTTATCCCTACACTTCTTGTAGGTAAAACAATTTTAGGGTCAAAAGTTTTATGGGTGGTTTGGTGTTCCTGTTCCTCCACTGGAAGTCCCACCTCGCTACAGGAAGTGGCAACTTCAGTCTCTATATCCCTTCCTGCTAGACGTCTCAGCTAGGGTCACTCCTATAGACCATAATATAATATAATATAATATAATATAATATAATATAATATAATAT